ATGATAGGTGATTTCATTGAGATGTATACAGGAATTAATAAGATAGGGTCTGAGAGCCCGTTTCTCCAGGGTTGGAGAGTCTAACATTACGAACCACAATCTCAAAATAGGAGGTTGATCATTTGGAAATGAGATGAAGAGAAATGTCTTCACTCAAACGGTTGAGAGTTTTGGGATTTATTTTACCCAGAGAATCGTAGCTGTTCAGTTGATGTGTATATTCAAGACTGTGATGAAATCCTCTTTGTGCCTTCTGATGAGCTTCATAACAGTGCACAGAATAAAGATTACTGCTGCTGGAACCTAGCAGTTAATATTTGGTGCTGGTAAAATCTGGAAGGTTTGAAAGTAATGTTCTTGTGGTGTTGGATCACATCTCAGTGAGAGAATGGTACAGTGCCAAAGCACTCCTGAGAGTAGAGGAGCTGCTGGTTGAAGCTGACCATTTGATTTCTCCACCACCCAAGCTGTATCTCACTGAAAGACTGGGTCATTTGTTGGTAATGAACTGCCCTGTTTGCTTTTATTCTCACCGTATTTTTTCTTTTCCTTTCCTATCTCCTCATGTTGGTCTAACTGAGACAGCGGCTCTCTCACTAACTTGTCGGGTGCTATTCTGACTTGCACTGAATTTTGTTTACCCATCATGTCCTGTGCCTGCCGACTTCTATTTATACAAAAATACTTTTTTTTTTCATTAAAAGTTCTTATCCTTGTTTTGAAATGCCTTTTTGGCTTTGCATCCCAACCTCTGTAACTTCCTCTAGCAGTACAACTCTAAACTCTGTTGCCTTGTCTACCACCTGCTATTTTTTTCTTGCTACTTCTGGCAGCTGTCCTGCCAATTTCCCAGACCCTCAGCTCTGGAATTTCTTTCCTAAACCTCTTCACCTCTCCTTTAGGACTTCTCTTAAAGCCTACCTTCTTGATTAAGCCTTTGGACATCTGTCCTGATATCTTTTTTGTTTGGTTCAGTGTGAAGAAGCATTTTGGCACTATATCACTTAAAGGCATTATCAAGTATTGTAAGTGAGATTTGCACAAGTGCCAAACAATGCCACCTTCAACTTAGTTTTCAATGGCATTGACAGTGGAGGATTCAGTGCTGGTAATGTCCTGAGAGTTACCAGTGACTAGAAACGGAACTGAATTGGTTATATAACTACTGAGGCTACAAGAGCAGTTAGAGGCTGGGATTCTGCAGCAAGTAACTCCCTGACTTCCCAAAGTCTATCCACCATCTACAAGGCATAAATCAGGTGTGTAATGAAATACTCTCTACTAACCTGGATGAGTGTAGTTCCAACAACACTAAAGAAGTTCAACACCATCCAGGACAAAATAGCTCACTTGACACCCCTTCCACTAACCTGCAACATTCATTCTCTCCACTGCACAGTGATTGCAGTAGTTGCAGCGCAGCAACTCACCAAGACTCCTTTGACAGCATCTTCCAAACCTGCAACATCTACCTTGGAGAAGGACTAGGGTAGCGGCAGCTGCATTGTGACATGTGTCAGCAAGTTCTATGTTAATTCACCTGCCAGCCTGACTTGGAGCTAGACTGCTATTTGTTCACCGTCATTGAGGATCAAAATCCTCACCACCATCTTCTTGAGGGTGACTAGGCATGGGCAAAAGATAATGGCCAGGTCAGTGAATGAAGAGAAGAATACATGCATGAAGTTGTTGATGTTGCCCAGGAGCTGTCCTAACTCCTGTTTGGCTGCTGAGTCTGGCTAGTAGCTTGGTGATTATTGCTGTACTACAAGGAGAAGCTGGCTGGAGTTCCCTCTCCCCAGGCACAAGATCATTATTGGTATATGATTTCTTTCCTTCATCTCCCTTATTGCCAAATCAGAACCACCTTCATTTTTATGCTCAGCCACAAATTCAGCACCAAAACTGGTGTAGTTTGGTAATGCCTGTTAGTGTGCCAATAAATGTACAAATAAATGATGAGAGTCAGTTGCAGGCCATATCAAGAAACATATAGACAGTATCTATGTACAACCCTTATTCAGAAGTGAACTTAACAAACTGTGGGTCCTTTGACAACTGATATTGTCTGCAAGCTGTGAATACAGGCATTGTCACTAAAGTTTGATTTACCGTTTTTTCTCTCTCGCCTGCCTGTCTCAGGATTCCTGTCTGGTGTGGATGTATTTTGTGGCAGATTGAGTGTTCATCATTCCCTCTGCAGGTCTGCGCTGTTCCACACAGCCTGACCTGCAAGGAGAGACACTGTGACCTTTGAGAGTTTGTGATTGTTCAGTTCGGAGAAAACACAAAATTTAAGAATTCTAGCATGAGGTCATTCCTGCAACACGTGGCAAACCAAAATGAGAACGTTCAGTTGGTTGATGTTACTCAGCTTGTGCAGCAGTATCACTTCTGCAAAAAATAGCTTTGACTCACACCTATAAGTCAGAAGATCATGAGGTCATAACCTACTTCGTGCACACAAGTTTCTGGAGCAGGGTATCACTGCCAGTAATGATGGCCAGTTATCCCCCACCCCCCCCTTACGGTAAGGTCATTGAGTAGCTGCCAGAGAAAGTACCAAGAATGAATACCCCAAAACCCATAGCCCAACCTAAAGGTCTATTGTCAACTCAGCTGAGACCAGCAACTCTGAGCCTTATCCATGGTGAAAAAATAAAGAGACTTGTATTTAAATAGCATCTTTACAATCTGAGCTTGTCCCAATACACTTTATGACCAATTAAGTACTTTTCAAACTATTGTCACTGCATTTCCATACATTACAACAAAAGAAATTTGAGCACAGCAAGCTGCAAATGTAGTTTGATGAACAAATGGTCTGTTTTTATTTCTGTATAGGTTGTGCGATAAATGTTGGGCAGTGCACTTGGCCTCATTTCTAAATAGTGCCCATTGGATCTTGGTGTCTTGGATCTTGGTGTCTATCAGAGAAAGCAGTGTAGCCTCAATTAAATGTTTCTTCCAAAAAGGTGATGGCTCTGATAGTGCAGTATTCCATCAGTGCTGAGACAGAGAAAGTGGGCCTAAACTTTGGACACCTCTCGAGTGATATTTGAACTTGAGATAAGAGTGTGAGCCACCATTAATATGGAGTGCATTTCACATGCTCAATACAGACAACGAGCAGGGAAAAAGAGTAACATCCTTGTCACTGTGTGATGTAAAACCATTTTTTCAGTGAGCATGGAGACTAGCAAAACGCTGGAATTTAACAAGTTATTTTTCTCCGTCCATTTGTCTCTGCTTCTGGCTGTTTGAAGGAAACAGGCCCATGCCTGAGGCTGAGAGAGCTTGCATTGACTGACAGTGATCACCAGGGGTTATTTTAATCATTTCAGATAATGTGGTACAATACAGAAGGAGACCATTTAGCTCCTTGTTTCCATGCTGGTGCTTTGGAGAAGCTGGCCAAATAGACCCACTTCATGCTGTTTCCCATTGCCCTGAAATTTTATTCACCTTCAGTTCTTTATCCAGTTTCTTTTTGAAACTTATTGTTTGAATGTATTTCAACTGTGACTGTCAGGAAGCACATTCCAGATCACAACAATTCAGATTTCCTTTCCTCCATCACCTCCAGTTCCTTCTTCATTTGCTTAATTCTGTATTTTCTGGTCACACTGTCCTGCTGCAGGAACTATCTTATTTAATCTGTCAAAACAACATACGATTCTGACCCTGACTTCCAAATGTCCTGTACTACACCTCTGCTCTAAGGAGAACAATTTTAGCTTCTCTAGTCTCCATGAAACTGAACTGAAATTTCCTTATCTAAGAAATGATGGCGTTCTAGGTGGAGTGTGATAAACGTTGACTAAACTAATCCTTTTGATAAGGTTATTCAATGAGGAGGGATTGAGTTGTGGATCTGTAATAGTGTTTAGGAAAACTAGAGGTGATCTTATTGAACGTATAACTTTCTTGAGGAGTTTGACAGGTTAAGTGGTGTGGGAATTAAGGCCTCAGAATTAAGGAGCACAGACTCCAAATGTGGCCTGGTCTATTTTTAGGAGCAAATTACAGCAGATGCTGGATGCTGTACTGCGAACAAAAAATGCTGGAAATCACAAGAGGGACAGACAGCACCCATGGATAGAAAGCAAGCTAACATTTCGAGTCTAGATGACTTTTTAACATCTCATCTTCAGACTAGGTACTTTACAACCTTCCAGACTTAATAATGAGTTCAAAACCTTCAGATTGTGAACCTATTCCCATTCTTTCCTTTTCGTTTAGCTTTACTTGTTGCATTCTCTATCACCATGTCCTCTCTCCCCTCTCCACTGGGACTGCCTGATTGATGCCTGATAGATGACGGACGTGTTTTGGGGACTCGGGAGGTAATTGCAATGCATAGTAAGTAATGTATTTATCCTGGAACAAAAACAAAGATGCTGGAAAAGCTCAGGAGGTCTGGCAGCATCTGTGAAGGAGAAAACAGAGTTAACGTTTCGGGTCCGATGACCCTTCCTCAGAACTCATGGTGGCTGGGAAAACGTCAGTTTATATGCAGAAAATAGGGAGGTGGGTAGGGTAGGGAGGAAACAATAGTTAGTTAGTCGCTAACAGTCCCCATTAACAACTATTCACCCTCCCAGCCTGATCGTTAGCAACTCCTTTGTCTGTCCAACTGTCTTTCTCTCTCTTCGGGCTCTATCCTATCGTTGACTCCCTACCCCACCCACCTCCCTATTTTCTGCATATAAACTGACATTTTCCCAGCCACCATGAGTTCTGAGGAAGGGTCACCGGAACCGAAACGTTAACTCTGTTTTCTCCTTCACAGATGCTGCCAGACCTGCTGAGCTTTTCCAGCAACTTTGTTTTTGTTCCTGATTTGCAGCATCCACAGTTCTTTTGGTTTTTAATGTATTTATCCTGTTGTGTTTTGAAATGGATGTACAGGTGGAGCTGGAGCAGGTCAGCGAGATCCTGATTCATTGTTTGCTTTGTACCAATGGCTCACTGTGTTTGCTTTTTTTTTAAACCAACAGGAACTTTCAGCCTCTGGTGTCATCCAAAATTTGAAGACCGATGTCAGTCTGTTGTCGAGTTCATTGAAAGGGCCATCATGCATTCTAAAAACGGGAAATTTCTGTACTTCCTCCGCTCGCGTGTTCCTGGTAAGTTAGTCTACTCACTGCCTTACTTTCTGAACTCTTGTGCTTTATGCAACTTGACTTTCAAGGCAGAACCATTGCTGTGTCTAGGACTGTACTGTTGACCAGAGCTAGACCAAGTGTGGCAGGAAATTCCCAGGATTCTTTCCCTACCTCCTTCATCCTCTGTTACTGGGATCTTGCTCTGTGGAAAGTGGCGATGTCTTAAGCTATAGTTTAATCTTTAACCGTGTGACACTGAAGTTGTAAGCGAGCATTATCAGGGAGGAAGGGGAGCGATCGAGCCCTTGACTCCCTGTAAGTGGTTTTGAGTAAGGAGGCAAAAGTTGTTTCCTATTTAACCTGATCTTATGAATTTAGGTCAGAGCCAAAGAGCTCCATCAAACTCTCTGCTTTATCAGTTTAAAGGGGCTCTGCCTTTCTTTGGTACATAATGCTGTTTTGATTTTGAACTGCTGAGACTCTGTTTCCCCATTTCAGTGAATCTCCTGGCATTTCACAGCTGCTGATTAGTATTTGATACAAGTATCAAATTAGTAATTACGATCAAATTAGACCTGAATTGATTGTTTTTTTTTTTGCGTTGGAGTCAGGAGTGCGACATTGTCAAGAAAGCTGTTTGTGTTCTCACTGGAGTTTTTAATTGAGCAGGTAAATGACCCGATGGTCTGCTACAGTCATGATGAAGGAATACAGTAGAACAAGTTGATGTCGTTGGCCAATGAAGAGGCCATTGAGATTTCAATTGGATGTTTATCTTGGTTCAATAACCTTTCATTCACCTTGCTATTTGGTTGAGATTGAGATTTTTATGTTTTACTGAGGGTTATAAACTTTTTTGAAATTCTCCATCCCAGAGGGCAGGGCAAGTTGAGTTTTGTAGCATATTTAAGATAGAGTTTGATTTCTGATTATCAGTGATATAAAGCATTATGGAAATGGTGAGTTTTTTTAAAAATCATTTACGATTGAGGACATCACTGGCTAGACCAGCATTTATTGCCCATCCCTAATTGCCCAGAGGGCAGTTCAGAGTCAATCACATTGCTGTCTGGAGTCACATGTCGGCCAGACCAGGTAAGGATGGCAGTTTCCTTCCGTAAAGGACGTTATGAACCAGATGGTTTTTTCTGAAAATCGACTGGTTTCATGGTCGTCCTTAGACTCTTAATTTCAGACGTTTATTGAATTCAATTCCAACATCTGCCATGAACCCAGATCCCCAGAACATTATCTGGCGTCTCTGGATTAATAGTCCAGTGATAATACCACTAGGGCAACACGGTGGCTCAGTGGTTAGCACTGCTGTCTCACAGCGCCAGGACCGGGTTCGATTCCACCCTTGGGTGACTGTCTGTGTGGAGTTTGCACATTCTCCAGTGTCTGCGTGGGTTCCCTCCGGGTACTCTGGTTTCCTCCCACAATCCAAAGATGTGCAGGTTAGGTGGATTGGCCGTGCTAAATTGCCTGTAGTGTTCAGGGATGTGTAGATTAGGGGGATGGGTCAGGGTGGGATGCTGTGTGTCGGTGTGGACTTGTTGGGCCGAAGGGCCTGTTTCCATGCTGTAGGGATTCTATGATAATCATCGTCTCTCCTTGAGTAAAAGGCATTCAAATGTTCATTTGGTGTGAATGCCAAATGGTGGACAGGCTTAAAGGGCTAAATAACCTGTTCCTGTAAACTGTCAAATAATTTAACCACCTCCTTTTGCTCAGGTATTGTTCTGCTGACTCTGAGGTGAGTTACAGGCAGAGGGCAGCTACGTTCTCTGGCCACTCATACCTTATTTGTCCTGAACAAGGACTGGAAAGGTTTGTGGAGGTTTTAAATGTCAAAAGTAATAAGCAGATTTTTTGGAGCTGGTATTGTGGGATGATCAACTCTGAGAGGGCAACCCCAGTGTGTTAAACTGACTTTAATGGTAAGTATTTTTCTGCTCCCTCCCATCCAGGCTAGGTACTGTCCCTCAGACAGGGGCTGTTTCCCCAGGCCTCTGCAAATACTACCCTCTACTGAACTGAGCTTAGCTGAGAAACAGTAAAAGAAAGAAATGGTGAATTTTTATGAAACCTTTCAGAATCTTGGGGTGTGTAAAGCATTTCACAACCAATGGGGAGTATCTTTTGTTGTGTAAGAAATGCAGCAGCCAGTTTACACACCCCAAGCTTCCATGAACAGAAAAGTGATAAAGAGCAGGTGTTTACTGACAGATCAGTATTGCCTAGGGAAGTAGGAGGTGCTTAATTGTCCTCCATGCCGCTGGGTGAAGGATGGAGACAAATCAGGAAGGGTTTCCATTCTTCACTGTGGCCCAGTGACACACACACTCATCCAGCATGGAAACAGACCCTTCGCTCCAATTAGTCCACACTAACTATGTTCCCAAACTAAACTCGTCCTACTTGCTTGCATTTGGCCCATATCCCTCCAAGCTTTTCCTATTCATGATCTTATCCAAATGTCTTTTAAATGCTGTAACTGTACCTGCATCCACACACTAACCCTGTGTTTTTAAGGAAAAATGTTGTCTCTCATGTCCTTTTTTTAAGTCTTTCTCCTCTCACCTTAAATATATGTTCCCTTGGATGGAACTCCCCTCACCTTATGGAAAACCTTTTTTATTTGCTTTATCTATGCCCCTGGAAAGTACACAGACAATAGGTGAGGGTAAATATCCTTTTCTTTAAGAACCTTCCATGTGCCGCAATGCACTGTCTAAGTTCAGGTGCAGAGGGTTTGGAGCAGCTTTCAAACAGTTCCAGATGGGAGACTAAACCTTTGGTTGTTGGGGGGCGGGGGGTGGCATTTGAGGAAAAGAAGGAAGAAAAAGGCCTTTTTTTTTTTTAGAAAGACCACTTTAGTGCTGGCTGCGTATCGTGAAGGCTGCTAACCACAGAGCTACAGGAAATTGCCTCGTTCGGTCATCATTTGAGTCAGAAATGACAGCACCTTCAAACTGAAATTTCAAACAGCCTTCCCTGAACTCATACTATTCAGTTTGATACCCGGTCTGAAACAATTCAAATTTTTCTTTTGACTGTTCTCCTTGATACACTGCTCACTCAGGTGCAGTTTCCTCTGGCCTGCTCTTGTTCTTGGTATTGATGTTACCACTGAGAACTGAGCACAGAGAGCTGAAATTCAATAGACTAGATGAAGCCTTTCTAGCCTCTATGCTGTTCAGTTTAGATTCTGCATTCTTAATCCTGGCCTCTTGAGCTTCTCCAGTTTCACTTGCCATACCATTAGCAACCGTGTCCTCATTTGCCTGAGCCTGAAACTCTGGAATTCTCTCCCTAAACCTCGCCCTACTCCTTTTTTAAAAGAATCCTTTAAAGTGACCTTTTTGACTGGGTTAGGAACATGTTCTGACCTCTTGTAACTTCCATTCCCTCCAACTATGTTTTTTTTTCTGCTGTGTGGACCTTTTTGAGGTCCATGCGTGGCAGCATCTTCCAGAGGTAGAAGCCAATGTGTCTCCAAGTAGAAGAGTGAATGTTGCTCGTTATGTGGCTTGGGGTGAAATGTTGTTTGATAACCCTCCTGTGAAATGCATTGGGATGCAGTGTGTCATATCCCATCTTCACCACAGCCTAATAGCTAACATGTAACTGCTGTTGATTATTGTAAAACCCATCTCTTGTGCATTCTTTAGAGAAGGAAATCTGCCATTTTTACCTGGTCTGGCCTACGTGTGACTGCAGACCAATGACAAAGTGGCTGACTCTTATCTACCCTCTGAAATGGGCCTCAGTTGTATCGAACCACTACAAAGCCTAAGGAAAGGAATGAAACCAGACTGACCGCCTGACATCAATCCAGGCACGGGCAATAATGCCCCTCCCAAATCACCTGGGTAGCCCGAATCAGTTTGTGGACTGCAGTAGTTGAAGAAGTCAGCTCACCAGCATATTCTGAAGGACAGTCAGGATGGGCAATGAACACCGGCCTAACCGGTGACTCCCATATCTCATGGATGAACGTTTTGTTTTAAAAATGCCCTCCACTTGCTTGGAACATGCTGTGGGAATCTGAGGCAGGAGGGGACTTCTCTGAGCAGTGAGGGAGGGGTTTTTGTCCCCCCTCTCTCCCACCCTTACCCCTGGCCTTTTTCTAATTTCTGGACCAGTGCCTTAAAATCATTAAAGGGTCCTGTTGTTGGTGTACTTGCAGGTTCTTGCCTGTATGCTTCTCCCACAGGCTTACCCCACCTTAGAAACCAGAGTTAGACACCATGTGGAGCCTTGAAATTACTCTACCAATCAATTAGATTCTGGCTGATCTGAAAGAAAATGCCCTTGAAATGATGTCTGGTCAAAGCATTTAATTATTTTAAGTTTGGACCACTGATGGTATATAAATACTAGTAAGTAATGTTTCCCTTTTAGCAAAGGTTTCAACCTGGGGATTTCAGGGCAACTATCTGAACACAAATGTCTACCTCGAGGTCTTTTTTGTTTTACAGATATTTGTGATTGTTTGGAGAGATGTGGTGCAGTGGCAATGTCACTGGATGAGTAATCCAGAACCCCCAGGCTAACGTCTCTGCGACAACAGGTTCAAATCCCACCGTGAAATCTGAATTTAGTAAAATCTGGAATAGTTAGTTCAATGGTGACTATGCAATCATGACTGACTGTTGTTGCTTTTTTCACTAGTGGCATTTTGAGAAGGAAATCTGCCATCCTTTCCTAGTCTGACCCACATGGGACTGCTGACCCACAGCAATGTGGTTACTATGAATTGCCCTCTGAAATACCACAGCGAGCCAATCAGTTCAATAGCAAGTCAGGATCACACAACAGTGACAGCCTTTGCCAGCAATCCCCACATCCCACACAAGAACAAGTTTTGAAAAATTTCTGTATTAAACACTGATTGCAAAGTTTTACAGAGAAAGCGCGTGGGACAGTAGGATGAATTTTCATTTACTACAGCAAGGACTGACTGATATGAAAGGCCTCTCTGTATGAAATACAGAAGCTGTAACCTGGACACAGCCCATTTGGTCTAACCGTTCATTGCTGTTTATCCTTATCCCATGTGCCTGTCTTGTTTCTATATTAGTTACTCCCATTAATAAATGTTGCCTGCCTTTGAAAGGAGAGCGCTGATAATAAGAACATTAAAATATTTAACTGGAAAAGGAGAAATCGCAATCTCTGGAGACTGGCCGTAATGATTTGAATAACAAATTGCAGGTACCAGAACTCAGAATGGATTCTTAATTGTCTACATCTGCATTGGCCTGATTTGTAGATGCACCAAATCTAATTTCTCCCTAAACATCGAGGGAGTGGGGTATCAGTCAGGGACAATGCCAGTGGAACTTAAAAACACCCTTTCTTACTGCAGTTGCTGAGAGGACAGCGTAGCTGCTGTTCATTATCTTCTTTAAGAACTGACTGACCTTTTACCTGCTTTCAAACTAGGCCTGTTTCTGTCAGATTCCTTCTGCTGGAGATGAGTTTGATGACATTTATTTTTCTGAGCGGCGAGTCTGTTATCTTGGAGTTATGGGTAGGAGTGTGGGAGCTAAGCCACAGCTGACTCTTGTGTTTAATTCTGTTTTGAGGTCAGGGTGAGGGAGGGGACTGAGATCTTTCAATACCTCAGTCAATCAGTTCAGACCCTTTTCTCTGGAAACTGCAGCATCAGACCTCTGCTGCGTGACACATTAACCTCATTCAGCACACTTCCTTACTTGGTTGCCGTGTTCCTTTCCCAATGTCAGGTCCTGTCTACACAGGATGAGAGGTGCACAGAGACAGGATTAAAGTGCTGGACTGGAGTTTGGCTCATATTTGAGGTCTTCAGGTGCTTGGCCCTAGATTTGAATTCTGACTTTTTTACCTCTCACTGCAACATTGAGACATTCCTTGAAGCGTACTATTTTTTTTAAGAAGCTTTTACTTTTTTTAAACCAAGCTTTTGTCCATCTATTCACCCATCCTTCAGTGACTTGCTATTTAAAAATAGCTTCTGGGAAGCATTCTGGGCCATTTTATTTTTCATTTTAAATAATTAATGTGATGTGGCCATTGCTGACTAGATCAGCACTTATTGTCCACAGGGAAAGGCATCGATGACAGAGTGGCTCGTTCAGCTATTTCAGAGACATTGAGAATCAGTCATATTGCTATGGATCTGGAGTCACCCGCAGATCAGACTGGGTGAGAGCAGCAGGTTTTTTTTTTAAAGGACATTGGTGAATCAGACAGGTTGTATGACAATCCAGTAGTTTCATGGTTGCTGTCACCAACACTAGCTTGTTATTTCAGATCTGTCCAGTTAACTGCAACAAATCTAAATTCTCAGCTACTGTGGTGGGATTCAAGCTCCTGTTTAGTCCTAATGCTTCTAAATGCAAGTTGTCAATCTTTGTGGCCCTCTGACCCTGCTTTAGTGCAGCACACAATTCCCCAGCCATGGACCGAGCTTCAATATGGTTCTGTTCCTGTTTACAGGTTTGCCACCGACCCCAGTGCAGCTCCTTTACCCTGTCTCCCGTTTCAGCAACGTGAAGTCCCTGCAGCACCTCTGTCGCTTCCGAATCCGACAGCTTGTCAGGATAGACCACATCCCGGAACTCCCACTCCCAAAGTGAGTCAGGGACAGTCAGCATTGGGAATGTGGTGGGGGTGGTGGTGGTGGTGGTGGCGGCGGGGAGGTGAGGGATGGAGGGATGGATGGACGGACACTCTGCTGGTTGGGTCTTTGTGTTGTTGGGGACTATATAGTGTTTGGCTGGGGTGGCGGACGAGGGAGAGGGTGGGCACGGTCTGTGTGGGGGTTGATGGTTTGCTTGTTGGAGTGTATTTAGAGCTGCACCGTGCTGGGGGAGAGGACTGATGGGATGTGTGGGTTTGGGGTGCATTGGCTGTAAGATTAATTAAAAGATGTTGTGTGCATGAATACAGCACTGGGACTTAAAGCTGTTCTAGGTACTCCACTGCAGGCCGGATCTTGAATATGTCTCGAAGTGGTAGAAAAAGTATTCAATGGTATTCAATTTTGAAAGGAACTTAGGATGAGTACTTGGCGGGGAAAAGAATGCAGGGATTTGGTGTAAAGAGGGGTAAGTGGCACCAGCTGGCCAGCTCCTTCATAGAAAAGGGGGCAGGCACAGTGCATCAAATGGCTTGCATCTGAACAGGTCTGATTTGCTGAACTGCCTTTCCTTTGCAAACTGACTTTGCATTACTGATCCTGCTCAGACCTCTCATATCGTATCTGCGGAAGTTTTACTATTACGACCCTGAAGAGGAAGCCTACCTTTCTCTCCGGGAAGCTCGGCTCTGCATCACTCACGAACAGGACATGGACACCCAGACGTAGCTGTCCCAGGAATATCGCTTGAACCATCTGAAACAAGTAAAGCCAAACCCTCACTCTGTATCTGTTGTTCAGTTATATTGTCTTTTTTTTGTTTTCTTTGCTTCAATTTTTCCCCCAGAAATTCTGTTGGGGGGTGAAACCTACTGGGAACAGACCTCTCCACCCAGTTCTGGTCCGGGAGATTAAGAACATCTTTGAAAATTGAAGCATTTGACCAACTTTCAGAAACAATTTCTTTGCATTTGATTGCTTTAATTTAGAAAATGTTGTATGTGGTTTCATCTCAACTGACTCGGTTAGCAAGTTTGGACCCACAGTATGCAGGGTTCCTATTGGCTCACTGTTGCTATGGAGAAAGAGACAGTGAGTTTGTTGTTTTACTCTTAAATTTTTCTGCTTGACTTAGGCCAAGTTCTGTTCTCAGCCCCATTTTGTGTGAAATCTGCAGATAAACATTTATTGAGTCTTTCCCTAGATTCTGTCCAATCAACAGAGGTGTCTCCAGGCCCCAGTTGTGAGCCTGAAACTTGGGAGTCGTGATGGTGAATGGTGCAGAGGCATTTAAGAAAAACATGGAGGGGAGATGCAGAGAAATGAACAGACGGTTAGGTTGATGGTGTTGAGATGAAGAGAGCTGGGAGAATATTTGTGTGGAGTATAAGCACAGAAACAGGCCTCTTCACCCAACTATTTCTGGAGAAGTTAAACTAGCTTCCTGTGGGACCACTGTACATTGACTTTTAATTTAAGTGCAATTAATGCAGGGGCTGGTTCTCAAACACTTCATTTTGGATAAAAAAGTCATTTTAAATAAAGTTAGGATATTGTAGCCATATTATGGAAGGAAGTAGATTCATTAGTCTCGTTTTGAAATTGCTTACTGTGCTCAGTTGCTCCAATTTAATTTGAAAGTAGTTTTGTATCTGCTGAGGTAGATGTAAAACTGCAGGGCTGTGGACATCAGGTGTGTGTGCACAAGATTGCTGGTACATCTAATGCATGCTGTGCTTGATCGAACGTCATTGTGACTTCTCATTCTGCTGTTCTGTCTTGTGGCAGGTTGGAGGGTTACCGAGGGCACTGGGAATGGCACAGTCTGACCGGATTGCTATGCCAGGAGCCACTTATGACAGAGGGATGCTCGCCGATTTTCCTGAAATGCTCCTTATTCCTGAAGCTTATTTCAACCCGTTGCTCGCTCCAAAAAGTGGTGTGGTGGAGGGAGGGAAGGAGGATGCAGTGGGCAAGTGACAGAATTCCTCCTGGAATACGCCTGGATGGGACAGGACAATCGAATGACGGATGATGGATTTGCACTTTCTGCTGAGAAAGACTGGTGTTACTAACTTGCAGCTATTTGCTGGGGAGGCAAATGTTCTCCTGAATCCAGAGACGTTCCAGGTGTTTTGTGCTGAGATGCCTAACTCTGGATGAATGCCTGGAAGGGTTATATTGCACAAATTTTGTTTTTCATTAATTTATGGATTAAACTACTGTTTATATTCACAGGCTGTTTAATGTGGAGCTTGCAGAAACCACTTGAAGTTTACTCTTAGAATCATAGTATGATTCCAGCACAGAAAGAGGCCACTCAGCCCCTTCTGTGTCCCTGCTGGCTCCCTGCAGGTACCCACCTTATGTTTTGATTGTGGTCCTGCAATTTTCTTTTCAGATAATTATACAGTTCATTTTAAAAGCCACAACTGTCTCTCACTGCCCAGACTCCATGATTTTGAACACCTCTATGGTCCCAACATCTCCAGTCTCTCTACATGTGACTGACATTCCTCATCTTTGGAACCATTCTTCAGAATGTTTTCTGAACCCTGAATGCCTTTAAATCATTCCCAAAGTGTGGCTTCCAGAACTGGAGGCAATACTCCCACTGAGGCCAAACCAGCGTTTTCTTACAAGTTTAGCATAACTTCCTTGCTTCTGTACTCTATCTTATTGATAAGGCACAGGATGTTGTTTGCATTATTAACCACTCTCCATCTGTCCTGCCATCTACAATGATTTTGTGCACATGTCCTACAGGTCTCTCTGTTCTTGCATCCCCTTTTGAATTGTGTTGTGTTTCATATTTTCTCTCCTTGTTTTTCCCCCTCAAATGCATCAATTCACAATTAAATTTCATTTGTCATTTACCCACCCATACAGCGAGACTGCACGTCCTCTTGAAGTCTGTCATTGTCCGCCTTGCAGTTGTTTCCAAGTTTTGTTTCATCTGCACATTTTGAGACTGTTTCTTGTACAGGTCTAGGGTCATTGAACTGGATTAAGAGAAGCATTAATCCCAGTACTGAAACCTAGGGAATGGTGTTTTTTTGGATTGGAGGAAGGAACAACCATCCATCGCTATTCACCCCAGCTTCACTTCCCTGCTACCACTGTCTCTTTTATTCAATGACCTTTAGCTTTGCTGAGAACCCTATTATGTGGTACTTTATCAAATGTCTTTTGGAAACCCAGGCACACCACATGAGCTACATTACTCTCATCAACGCTCTCTGTTACTTCATCAAAAGATTCCATAAAGATAAAAGGGGAGGTAATGGCCTAGTGGTAATATGGCTGGACTATTAACTCGGAGATCCAGATAATGTTCTGGGGACCTGGGTTCGAATCCCGCCACAGCAGATGGTGGAATTTGAATTCAATAAATATCTGGAATCAATAATCTGCTGATGACTGTGAATCTATTGTCGATTGTCAGGAAAACCCACCTGGTTCACTAATGACCTTCAGGGAAGGAAACTGCCATCCTTACCTGGTCTGGTCTACATGTGACTCCAGACCCACTGCAATGTGGTTGACTCTTAACTGCCCTCTGGGCAATTAGGGATGGGCAATAAATGCTGCTTGGTCAACGATGCCTTCATCCCGTGAATGAATAAAGAAAATTTGACTTTTGGGAGAACCAGCATGGATTTAATGATTAGTTCACATTTATCCAAATAATTTGTTGATTTTGTCCCAGATTATTCCCTCTAAAAGCTTTCCCCGAGGTTAAAATGGCCTGTAGTTGTTTGATTTAAACATGTTTTTTGGAAACAAGGTGTAACATTTACATTTCTTCCCTTCTTTGGCACCATCCCTGTATCTAAGGAGAATTGGGGAATCTTTGGAAATTGCAGATACATTAGTGCTGTTATTTTCCTCAGTATCTTTGAATCGGTTCATCCTGTCCTGGTGACTTATCAGTTTTAAATACAGCCAGACTTTCTAATACCCCTCTCTCTTTCAATTATTCACCCTCCTTTATATCTCAACTACTGCCCCTTTGACTACAGTAGCATCTGCAGTCTACAAAACTGAAATGCTCTGCATGTTTTTGTTAACTAAATTGCTAACTTATTTCACACAAATAAACTTAAGACTTGATTAAATAAGAGCTCACTGCTAGTCAGCAATCACCTGGTCCCTTGTACTAACTTCTCCTTATAGGGAGAAAAAGTGAATGCTTTCACTTAACGCCTAATTGATTATATCTCAGATTTTAATTTACTGAAGAATTCAAAAATCTTTACGTTGATATCTTGTCTTTAATTTAGTTTATCCCCTAGACATGATTGATTAATTGAACACATAATAAATAAATGATCAAATTGACTTTTGTTTTATATTAAATGATCTTGTTTTAACTATTTGTTAAATTAGAAGTTTATCAGTAAGCTCAACTCGCATGATTCCTGATTCTGTGATATCACTTTGCAATTTATCCCTACTGTGTTGTTGGGTTGCCACTGCTGTTTGACCTGGAAGGATTTTATTTGAAATATTGAGGGTTAGCATCCTCTTGTTTCTCCCTAAATCCCAGCGTCAGTCCCACAGTTGTGTGTGTCTGTCTGTCTGTCTGCCTCTCTGTGCGGGCGTCTGTAATGAAGTGTAGAGGAAAGGACCAAGAGTAGTCCCTTCAAGCCTGCTCTGCCCTTCATTAGAATTGTTGCTGATCATCCAACTCAGTTCCCTATTCCTGCTTTTCTCCAATAACCTTTTGATCCTTTTTGTCCTGAGTGAATCACTCTCCAAATTTTATGCTGCTTCACATGTCACTCTCTCTTTTGGAGAAATTATCAACATCCCCTGTGCTCCTCCTCAAAGCAGATAGTTCAGGTATCAGTTTGGAAAGGGAATTCCAGAGTTTTGAATTGTAACTCTGGTTGAATGTGTTAAAAGTTTTAGTCTGGTTTAAACCAGCCCCCACATCCCCAGCATTGGTCACCTGACACATCCCTCATTGCAATGCATGGTCTTCCTACAGCCATTCGGAAAGCAAAGCTATCTGTTATTCTATTGGCTGATTTTTAACTGGTCAGTCATGGCTGTTTGTTTCCCCATCACCAATATTTTCATAACTAACACAAACATTTTTTTCCTTTTGAAAAAAACACCGTTTAATGTGCTGTTTGAATTGTGTTCTGGAATGTGTGCAGGACATTGATCTTCAATTCTGAGAAAACCCCATCCAGGAGCATTGGTGGTGATGATGAACCCAGTGAGTCAACAAAACAAATTGAGTTCATTTCCTTTATTCCCCCACATCCTTGGCCCTCAATGAATCTGTCAACTTCAGATTCAACTCGTGCTAAAGAATCCCTGAGAACCATTGGAACAGGAGCAGGCCATTTAGTTCCTTTGCATGCTTGCTGTGCTGAGCTTATGTTCTGCAGGACCAGTCTGCAGTCACCCACAGTATCCATGTATTTCAAAAGTGCTTTTTGATCTAGTTTCTAAATAGTAGGAAATGTATATCAAGGGTAAAAGCAGAAAGAAGCCATATGCCTAACTGATCAATTTTTCACAAACCTTCTTCAACCCTACCTCATCTCAATCAAACATCACATGCTTCAATTCCTTCCTTTCATCTGAACTTCTGTAGCTTTGCTCTAAATCTGGATCTGTGCTATTGGCATCGAGCACTTGTGTGGTAGTGAGTTCTGCGTCCTAACCTCTCCCTGTATGAAGATGTTTCTCGTGAATTTCCTGTTGGATTTGTGGGTGATTAACTTGTATCTGTGAAGCCTAATATTGGACCCATCTGCACGCACAACAACACCATCTCTATCTCTACCTCATCATACACCTTTGAGATTTTAAAGCCTCCACCAGGTTATTCCTTAGCCCATGATTTTCTCGAGTAAGGATCCCCTTTTGTACACTTCTCGTTCAGAGTCTCTTACAGATTCATATATTATGGCTCCCAAAACCCCTACCACTTAGAGACACAGGAATCAAATCTGTATTCAGACATTTGGCAATGTGTGTTAATCCAGAGTAAGAGTCATGGGCTGTGTGGGCACAATGTCCTGGGATAGTACAGCTCTTGAATGGCCTGTGTCACAGGAGATAACCCACACAAGTGATGTTTTGTACAATCAGTAAAGTGTACTAGAATTCAATTTAGGGACATGATGGCACTGCAAAATGGTGGAAATCCGCACCCCCCTCCACTTCAAAACGAATCTGGGCTGACCCACTTGCTATTGTATTGAATCCAGGGGATGGGGTTCCTCATCTGTCCAGTTTTTGCTCTGGATTCTCAACCCTCCAGGAATTAAAGATTAATCTCTGGCCTTGGCATGCAATAGCCAAAAGAAAAATCAGTGGTGAGGGTGGGGTGGGTGTGTGAGATGGAAGAAAACAATTTTTTTCCCAATTTCATTGAACACTTTTCCCTGTTAATATTGAAAATGACAGAAAGGGCTGTTTTACTGAGCAAGATCATTAGAGGGGATAGGGTCAGTGATGAAATCTTCAAGTATATGTCCAACCAGAATACTTTTTGATATAAAACATCTTTTTCCCTCCCGTATCAACTGCCCCAACCTTTCCAAATGGGTAAATCATGATGACAAGAAGCGAAAAATGAAAATTCTAACCATAATTACGTTCCCTGTCTTGTGGGGTTCGAAAGAGTGGGACACTCTGTTGACCAATAGTGATACAAGCCCACTCCTTGCAAAAGGAAAGTTTTAACCCTTGCAGCCATCAAAGTTTGAGTTCACTAAACCTTGCAACTTGAATTCTTTCTGCAATGAAGCTTTCCTTTTATTAAATTACTTGCTGCATCAAATGATTTGAATTTTTGAAAACTTTACAAATAAGTGGTGCCATCCCTAAGAGCCTTTGACCAAGATGTTGTCTCCCTGGAGCAGCCCTATTGTAGAAGACCAGCGATGAGAATATGTCCTTTTCTGATCTTGTTAGTTATAAGAACTTTGGACAGGATGGGATGATTTGACGAGGAGAAAGGGGTCGCGTAATAAAATCTCCAGGAATAGGTCACAACTCACACTAGACTTCACAACCATAATCGTACTAAGATACAACTTGGTTTTGAATTCTGTTGTGAAATGTGTGTGGATGTTTATCCAGACAGTGTTATTTATGTTTAAGTGTCAATTGTACATTGTGCAGTGACCATGTAATGCGGGAATGTGTGATGCCCTACGCTGGTCTCTGTCTGGGACTTGCATTCACAAAAGTAAAACCTTTAGTAACAT